GCCTCCTGCTGCCGAGCGGAAGCGCAGGGAGAGGTGGCGGTGGCGGCCGTGGGGCCGAGGCGGCGGAGCGGCCCCCGGGCCCTCCCCAGGGAGCCCAGCGCTACCGCCACTCTTGCTCCACCCCACACTGTGCTCCTCTCTGTGCCCCCCGCTCCACCCCACGCCGTGCCACCCGCTGTGCCCCCCGCTCCACCCCACACCGTGCCACCCGCTGTGCCCCCCGCTCCACCCCACGCCGTGCCAGCCACTGTGCCCCACGCTCCACCCCACGCCGTTTCAAGATTCAATTTTCATTTATTTGGTATAGCCCTGTGAGCCATGCGGCTCTTAAGTCGGGTGCAACCGCAACAAACAAAATATAAACAGAGAACATCTCAAAGCGACGCGGCGCAACAGAAACATCCTGGATAAACCAGCAAATCTTCCAGAAAAAAAACGTATTACAACGCTGTGTGCAAAAATCCCAGTGTGATGCAAGTCAAACAACAACAACCATAAGACAATTTAGATTAACCATATGTTTTCAAAATCACCAAAATAAAGCTATAAAAACAATATAACAACAGTAATCGTAGGAACTGTGATTCAAATTTAACAATAAACGATATACATAACATGTACCAAACTTGCAGCCATAGCTGGCAGCATGACACTCCCAGTGTGTGATGTGTGAGTGAGTCAGTGGTAGTGTGAGTGAGTGTATGATGTGTGAGTAAGCGTATGAGTGAGTCAGTGTATGATGTGTGAATGAGTCAGTGGTAGTGTGAGTGAGTGTATGATGTGTGAGTCAGCGTATGATGAGTGAGTCAGTGACTGATGTGTGAGTGAGTCAGTGGTAGTTGAGTGAGTGTATGATGTGTGAGTCAGCGTATGATGAGTGGGTCAGTGTATGATGTGTGAGTGAGTCAGTGGTAGTGTGAGTGCCTGTATGATGTGTGAGTGAGTCAGCGTATGATGAGTGATTGAGTCAGTGTATGATGTGTGCGTGAGTCGGTGTAAGATAAGTGAGTGTATCACGGCCTCCTCCCACCATCACGGCCTCCTTCCTGCCATCACGGCCTCCTTCCTGCCATCACGGCCTCATCCCCCCGGCTCCCTCGGCTCCGTTAGCTCCCTCGGCTCCATCGGCTCCCTCCGCTTCGTCGGCTCCGTTGGGGCGGCACAGTGTGGGCCGTGTGGCAAGAGCATCCAGTCAGGGTCTCCCTGTTGGCTACCGCCTGGTGGGGCTGGAGGTCCCCGCGGCCCGCCCGCAGTGGCAGCCGGCCTCGCCCAGACCTCCCACGTCCCGTCCTCCCCAAGCGTTTCCTGGCTCAGCCGGCCGCTGGAGAGCAAGACGAGGCTGCCGCTGGAGATGGCACCCGAGGCTGGGGAGGTGATGGCCAGAGACTCGCTGCTTGCGGGGGACTCGGCCGAGAGAGGAGAGGCCGAGGGAGAAGAGGCTGCATGTTTCCCCAGGGAGGCCCGGGCCTCTGGGGGGTCTGCCATTCCACATAGCTGGGAGATGCCTCGCTGTGTGGGAGACGGCTTCCGTCGAAGAAAGATGGCATTCCCAGGCTCACGTCAGCGGAAATGCCAGGCGGCACTGCAGGTGACTGAGTTGAACCGCCCCGCGTGCTGCTGGACGGAGCAAGCAGTACGTCCCTCCAATTGCCACCGCCGCCACCGTCGACGGAGTCGCCCGGGGAGTACGAGCGCGGACGTCCCTCGGACGAGACGTGAGATGACGCCTCCAATTGCCCGTCCCTGTATGAGTCGTCCTCGCCCAGCTCCTCACCCTCATTCTCATCGACGGCGCCGTAGAAACGCAGACGCTCCCGGCACGAGGCCCCAAACTCGCTGCCTGTGGTCGCTTCCAGCAGCGAGCCGCCCAGGCCGAGGGCAGAGCATTGCTTGTCGCTGCACGGCGTGTCCACCTCCTGGATGGCACTCAGCTCGTGTTGCTCGATGAGTCCCAGACGGCAGAGGCGTGAGCGGGCCACAGTGGGCCGTTCGCGGACGGGCTGCCCCAGGTGAAACACAGAAACCATGCCCACCACGATCCCGCCAGCTCCAGAGAGAAGTCCGACGGCCGGCAGCGGTTCATCCTCAGACAACAAGTTGAAGGCACCGTGCTCCGTTGCATCCTCACCAATGTGGTCCAGCTCCTGTGGATGGCTCCGCTCTGGGATTTTGGCGCTGCCGGGCCCCTCCAGGGCTCGGAACAGGGAAGACATTAGGTCGTACCGCTGAGCCAGCTCGGAGTTTTCCCACGCGGCCGCCGGCCTCTCACCGCCCCCGACGCCAATATCCTCTGTGGAGCCGGATAGGTTATGCTGCTGCTGCACTTCCTCATCGCTGCTCCACACTCCTCCTTCCACCTCTGCACTTCGCCCTGGCCCTCCCACCTGTGCGTCGGCATCGCTGGAAATTACCGGGCATCCCATGGCCGAGGTGCAGATTCCACCGGCCACGGGGGATCGGAGTCCGCCTGCGATGGCGCCTCGAGCTCGGTTGGCAACGCCACTTTCCCGGCGAGCCACGAGGGAACCGCTCGGCTCCGCGGTCCCACACTGGGGGCGGCTGCCTCTCCCTCGTCCAGCTCGAAGTCGAGCATTCCTCGTGACGTGGATAACGGCACCGTCAAGCACTTTCCCTTGAACGAGACAAGTTGTTTGGAATTTGTCAATTGCACTGCGGTGGGGGGTTCCAGGAGTCCCCGCCACAAGGCCGTGGCGCCACATGCTACCTGTGCTCGAGCGTCAGACTGCGTTTTCTGTCGCGGCGGTTCGGCACTCGGGACCGTCACCCTGCTCTGCTGCCGCGGTTTGCCCAGCGGGAACGCAGCGGGCATGACGGACTTAAACTGGGCTTGTTGTGGCTGAGAGGGCGAGGCCGGGACGCGGCCTTCGAAAGCGAGCTCCACAGGCGAGGCCGCCGTGCTCAACGGAAGCAAAGGAGCGGCTGGTCGTGGGGACAGCAGGAGCGAGGTGTCCACGCACGGTAGATCGGATCCCGTCAACCGCCGATCCAAAAACATCGCCGCTCGCGACGCCTCCGCGCCCGAGAGCGACGCGCAAACGGTTCTGTCAGGCGCAAGTGGTGAGGTGCCAGCAGAAGGCGCTGCCACCTGGTGCGGGCCGCTGACAGGAAGTCATGGTGGGGCAGCAGCTGCACCGACCGGGGGTGAGCACCTCCTGGTATTCCTTGAGCCTCTCACGGGCATCCTCCACAGACTGCTGATGCATCCTGTTCTGTTGCAGGAGCCACTACTGGTGAAGCCGAAACGCGAGAGTGTGCTCATCTGGCCTGGACAGCGCAGGCTCCAATACCCCCCTTGGTGTCATGTCCAGGGAGCGAAGTGCACGAGGAAGAGTCGCTGCCTGCTCTCCCTGCGCCAAATCATCCTGCCCCGTGCTTTTCTGTCCAGCCGACCAGGCTTGGGTGCCTTGACTTCCACCCTGGAGGCAGGCGAGATGCGACCAGAAAGCCACATGTGCGTGTGCACTCCCGGAGCCTCCAGCTCACTTCGCTGTTGCTCAAGATGAGCCTCCAGCTCTCTCTTCTGCTGCTCCAGCTGCTCGAGCAGCAGCAGCTGTTGCCTCTTCTGCTCCTCCAGCAACGACGCCTGCTGGTGGCACTGCGTGGCGGGCGTCTGCCTAGTTTCGAGCAGCTCACGTGGGCGGACGATGGAGGCCGCCCAGGCCACAACTCTCTCGTGTCCTGCTTCCATCCACGAGGGCCCCTTCGACAGATCCACGGGCCGCGTGGGCCCTGCCTGGGCCCGAGAGAGCCACTGCTCGCGCTGGCTGTTGATGCGGCCCAGCAGGTGGCTCAGGGCGTTTTGAGTAGGCCGATGGGGCCCTTCGACGCCCTCTCCTCCTGCAGCCTTGTTGGTCTCAGGATGAGCAGTAGAGGGCCCGGCCGTGGGTTCCTCCTTTTTCTCTGCTTCCCCTGCTAGCGCCACCTCCGATTCTAGCTCAGTTCCACGCATGAGCAGCCCGCCGTGATCCGGGTGTCCTGCAATCTCAACCTTCTCGACCTCCTCGTCCTGGTTGCAAACCGACGGTGTGGGTAGAGGGTCTGGGCACATGCACGGATCGGCACGCAACCTCGCGCTGCCGGCGTAGAGGTCCTCGAAGGCTTACTCCATATCCCTCTGCTGCTCCTGGCGGATCTCAATGCGCCGGTGGGGTGGGTCAAACAGGCCTGTGGGCAGTTGGGACACCGTTTGCCTCCTGCGCCTCCAGTTTCCCTGCTGCTTCACCTTCAGCTCCTGCATTAGCCGGTCTCGGTCCTGCTGCAGCAGCACCATGCGCAGGGCATGCGACCCGCGCAACCTCGCCTTCCCGCTCCGTCTGCTCCTGCAGCGTCCGCAGACTCTGCTCCTCCTCGGCGGCAGCCGCTCGCACGTTCACCTGCCGAGTGTCAATCTCACGGTTGGCGCAAGGCTCCAGCAGGTGGTAGTGGGTCTGGGAAAAGCACTCAACGTCGTGCCACCCACTGTGCCCCCCATTTCACCCCACTCCGTGCCACCCACTGTGCTCCACGCTCTACCCCACGTGATGCCACCCACTGTGCCCCCCACTCCACCCCACGCCGTGCCACCCACTGTGCTCCACACTCTACCCGACGTGATGCCACCCACTGTGCCCCTCGCTCCACCCCACGCCATGCCCCCCACTGTGCCCCACGCTCCACCCCACGCCATGCCACCCACTGTGCCTAACGCTCCACCCCACGCCGTGCCACCCACTGTGCCCCACGCTCCACCCCACGCCGTGCCACCTGCTGTGCCCCACACTCCACCCCACGCCGTGCCACCCACTGTGCCCCACGCTCCACCCCACGCCATGCCACCCACTGTGCCCCACGTTCCACTCCACACCGTGCCCCTCTCCGTGCCCCACGCTCCACCCCATGCCGTGCCCCACGCCGTTGGCTGTGCTTGGCGCTCGCTGCTCGTCCTAGGCTCTTCCCGCTCACGCCGGCCCTGCCGCTCACTCCCGGCATGTGACCTGCAGACGATGGGGATGTCAAGAAGATCGAGGAGGCGGCACTGGAGTTTGAGGGGAAAACGTGCGTCCGGTTCATCCCTCGCTGCAACGAGGCCGACTATATCTACATACACGCATGGGAGGGGTGAGATACGGAGACACGGACACTACAGAGACATGGACACGACAAAGACACGTACACTACAGAGACACGGACACTACATTTCTCTGTGATGAGTGGTCAGTGAATGGGGCTCTGTGCTCAGGCTGGGGTTGTCTCTGTGTGATGAGTGAATGGGGCTCGGTGCTCAGGCTGGGGTTGTCTCTGTGATGAGTGGTGAGTGAATGGGGCTCGGTGCTCAGGCTGCGGTTGTCTCTGTGTGATGAGTGGTGAGTGAATGGGGTTCGGTGCTCAGGCTGGAGTTGTCTCTGTGTGATGAGTGGCGAATGAATGGGGCTCGGTGCTCAGGCTGGGGTTGTCTCTGTGTGGTGAGTGGTGAGTGAATGGGGCTCGGTGCTCAGGCTGGGGTTGTCTCTGTGTGATTAGTGGTGAGTGAATGGGGCTCGGTGGTCAGGCTGTGGTTGTTTCTACAGGAATTGGTCATTCCTGGGCCATCAGGGCGGGGACCAGGCGCTGTCCCTGGAGCCCGGCAAGGTGACCAAGGGCGTCGTTCTGCACGAGTTCATGCACGCGCTCGGCTTCCACCACGAGCACTGCCGCAGCGACCGCGACGACCACGTCTGGGTGCTGAGCGACAACATTGATCCAGGTGGGGTGCGGGGAGAGCTAATGGATGCACACCTCCGGTAGTTAGTTCTACACCTGATCCGAGCCTCCTCACAGTGAGTTTAACTCAAAACAAGTATCTTCTAGAGTCTGCCTACATCACTCGTGGAGAGATAAAGGTCGTGGAGAGTGAAGCTGCCTCAGGCCAGGACCTACTGAACTTCCGTTTACACATTCTGAGTAGTGGATTTGTGATTAGTCAGGGGCTGTGAGTCTGACATTGGAGGTTGCCATGACGCTGTGTGGCCTGCTTCACCCTGTGGTGACAAACACCCGCCCTGTGCTTTCTGACATCAAAGAGCCCTCCAGTTCCCCTGCCCTGGGCTTTGGAGATGTTGGTGTTTGTATCTGCGCTGTGTGCTCAGAGCCAGCTGTGCGTTGTCGCTCCCAATGGTGTAAGGGGCGGCCTCTGTTGTTGATGCTGAGAAGCTGCCTCTGGTGTCACATGAGGCTCTCACTGGCCTCAGTGAGTGCCGTGCTGCAGCGAGCTGTGGGACTCGTCCCCGTGTGGATGGCACGAGTTGTAGGCATGCATATTGTTTGGGATGCATTTGCTGTGTGGTGGGGGTTCATTAGAATACCTGCACGCTGCAAACCCATATCACCGGAGTCTGCCCTGTTACCCATCAGAGTGCACCATGCCTGGCACAGGCGCTGTGGAGGCACCGCTACTGTTGTGAAGTGACAGAGGAGTGCTTTTTGTATGCGTGGGGGAGGTACGTGATTGAATATTTCCCATGAACACGGTTGTTTATGTGAGTCTGTACACTCGGTGTGTTGTGTTTCAGAGTGGAAGGACGCGATTGAGAAGAAGACATCACAAGTTCACACGACCCCCTACGACTACAGCTCCATCACCCACTACAGCACGTGAGTCATGTGGCCCAGGCTCCATGCAGGGGGATGTAAGCCTGCGCTTACATCATCGTCATCGGCCATTATCTATCCTCTACTGTCTGCAGGCCTCCCCACATCGTCCCCATGCCCTTATCATGCTTTAAACCATCTCACTGCTGCAGTGAACTTATCTCACTGTCTCCATCTCCTAAGAGGTTGTCCTCTCGGGCATGTTCCCTCCTTTAGCTGCAATTCCATCACCATTCTTGTCCGCCTTCAAGATCCTCCATGATTCCAACCCTCATCTCTCCCCCCTCATCTAATTTCCCTCCAAGCACTCTCAGCAGCCGTGGCTTTTGTTGAAGCCCCCAGGCAACATTTGCTGAGTGGGAGGTTGCTCATTCCCGTGTGTTCCCTTCGGGGTCTGGAACTCCCTTCACCTGCCATCCATGCTGTCGACTCCCTGCCCCTGTGTAAGTCCAGACTCAAGGCCTTCCTTCTTTCCTCCGCCTACGACTACCTTTGTCTAGAGAATCCCTCCACCCTGTGGGTACGGTTTCTAGAAGGTGCGTTCCTGTGCCGTAGACATCCGTTCAGCCTCACCAGACCATGTGGCCAGGCTGTGTCGGCACTAACCCCTTGGCTGATAGTCGTGGGGAGGTGGGGTTTTTGTTCATTACTGATAGCAATTCAACTGTAATGATTACCCCCCCCCCCCCAACTCCCCCCACCTAAGCACTTCGATGTTTACTCTCACGTTTGCATTGTTTGTCAATGAAGGCCTCCATTTTTAGCCATCTTGGCTTGTCTGACCATACTTCACCATATTGGCTATCATGGGTGAGTGCAGGGGTGTCCCAATACCACTTCAATTATCACTCGCCACTGATGTCAACCATGGCTGGGAAAGTAGTGGCCCGCTGGCAGCCACGTGATATCAACGCCACGCGACGTTAAACGCATCCATGGGTAGTCATTCATCGGCGACTTTGTAGTGAAACAACGTTAAACGGACCGACATTAAGCGAGCACTGCCTCTACTTAAATTTTCTATGTAGATACAGATACATTAAGCGGATGCATTGTCTGCTTCATTTTCTTGCAATGCGATTAGCTGAGCCCCTGGCGCTTACTGCACTGCCAGCATCGCACTATCCTGACGCCGGTCACGTGATCAAGGTTTGCCTCTGTGTGGTCACAGTGGTTCTACTCCAGCCCTTCTCAAGTTAGTGTGCAACTGGCTTCATTTAATCATTCCAACATAATACAATGCATTGGAGAATAGAGTGGGTACCTTAGAGGGTAACTGAAGGACAAGTAACAGTGAGCCACCAGTCGACACGAATATACTCTATGATAATTGGTTCTTTACCCTTCTATCTGGCAACAAAACTGACACCTTTTTTTTGTTGCCAGATAGAAGGGTAAAGAATCAATTATCATATTTTTACTGGCAAATGAGGTCCCCATAGAGTAGAATATACTCTAATTAATAGCTTTAATCTCATTAATTTTTCTACAGCTGTGGATATTTGATCTCCTTCCCCCATGCGGTGGGGCGTAGTAACCTCGCTGTGGTGAGTGCAGGGGAGCGGCGAGGCGCGAGAGTCAAAGTCTCTTGGCACTCCGTGCCCTCTGCCTGAATGACCGCGCTCACCAGCAAGAAGGGCACAGCCTGGGAACGCCTCCGGGTGGCCTCTCGGAGCTGGCGACAACAACGCCGCTCGCAAAGCAGAGCTGGCTCAGCCAGGCCTCTCCCTGCTCACACGAACTCGAATGAGACACGGGGCGGCACTTATCTCCATTGGATGCCCTGAGCCAATGGTGACATTCTACATTCCCATGGCAGGGCCAGTCGGCCCAGAGTGCGATCACTGTTCAATGTTTGCAATGTGGTGTTTTTGTATTGAGCCAGGAGGTTTGATGGGGCCAAGTGACCCCAACCAGGATTAGAACTCTGCCCTTGCGATGACTGGATCTCCATAACCACAGCATCACCCAGCTGATTACCAGGGTCGATTGGTGCAGTGCAACCGTCTCACAGCACAGCCCCCTCTGCCTGCAGGGTGCACGAGCTGAGTGCTGAAGTCTGGAGGAAGTACACATTGCTCCTTATAGGAGGCACCACACGGCCACCGTGTGTGGAGACGGCTGTGCCCTTGACAGCCGCCAAGCGCAGCTCTCCGCACACAGCAGCGCGGCTGCGCGTACGGGAGCTGCGTCTGTGCCGTGTGACCGCTGTCCCGTTTAGAGCAGTGCCATGCGCACCATGGCGGCGCGTACCGACGGTGCCACTGTGTGCCCACAGGACGGCCGGCTCCAAAGACGGGAAGAGCGCGACCATGCTCCCCAAGCACAAGAGCAGCACGCGCCGCTTTGGGGGCGGCCACAGCCTCAGCGACGGGGACGTTGAGAAGATCAAGGAGATGTTCGAGCGAGAGCCGGCAACAGCGACGCCCAGCATAGCCACATCACAGCCTGGCTCCTCTACAGGTGCCCGGCAGGGGTAGCAGCCGCCATAGCAGCAGCAGCATCCACAGCAGCAGCAGCCATTGCAGCAGCAGCAGCCACAGCAGCAGCAGCCACTACAGCAACAGCCACAACAGCAACAGCAGCAGCCATATCAGCAGCAACAGCCACTGCAGCTAAAACAACCACTGCAGCCACAGCAGCAGCTGCCACAGCAGCAGCAGCTACAACAGCAGCAGCCATAGCAGCAGCAGCAGTATCAGCCACTGCACGCACAACCACAGTAGCAGCTGCTGCACCCACAGCCACTACAGCAGCCACTGCAGCGTCAGTGAGCCCAAGGAACAGCTCCACCGTGGCTGCCCTGCGAGACAGCAACAGCTCACAGAGTCTACTTGCTCCATGAGCGTTAGTATAGTGGTTAGCGCGCTGCACTACAAACCCGGTGACCAGAGTTCGATACCCGCTTACGGCCAACACCAGTGATGATTATCTGAACCGGTCCTGGGCCTCCCCTAGGTCGCCTCAGCCTCAAATTATTACCTGGTACGGTGTGTAAACATCACCACTAGGGAGTCAAAGGCGGCCAGGCGTGGTGCTGGCCATCCACCCCCTCGTGCCGTTCTGGCCTCCATAGGTGCTCACTAACGGCACTTACCCCAACAGTCTGTTAAGGCTATATGGGGGAGCTTTGTCTCTATTGTGTGTGTGCAGGAGCTCGAGCAGGAGCCAGCACCACACACAGAGATGCTGGTGCCTGCACGAAGGAAGACGCGATGAGATTGTTTACCAAGGTACCCTAAGCAACGCACGGGTGGTGTCGCCAGGGCTGCGTCCATAAGTAGCCGCTGTGCCGCATTGTGGGGCTACATCATGGGCAGCAACAGGCAGTGCAGCAAAACACATTGTTGTACTGTACTTCTACGTGTCCACGTGTATGCTTCACATACCCGCACCGACCAGCGTGGTGGAGTCTGGTCCAATAACCCTCACAGCCTGCCACCTCTTTTCTACAACCTGCAGCAGCGCTTGCAGTGGCTCTGAGCAAGAGCAGCCGTCACGTGCGTTTGTGTTGACTCAGATGTCTGTCTTTGTTTTGCAGCTGCGCCAGGAGGTGAAGGGAAGCAGCATGAGAGGTACTCACAAACCTGGCTATTCTGTAGTTTTAAGCAGCTGACTTAGGCGATAGTCATGTCTGCAATAAACGACCTCAGGTGTAGGCAGTGATTCCCTGTAGTACACAAGTGTGGCTCCAGGTTAACCTGCACTGTTGTGGAAAAATGTGAAAGTAAATTGATTGCAACACTCGCTGAAGCGCTATCCCCTGCCTACAAGAACACATTCTTCCCTTGGTATTAAAACTCCTCAATACCAGAAGCATTGTTCAGGACACCTATGCAGACATTTAAACACACAATATTTTTCTGACTACATTTTTAAACCTTTTACATCACTCAAGCACTTGAGTGATGAAAAAGAGAGAGACACACCAGCCGATTGTGCATGCCAGCTGCTCTCAAGTTTTCCTGCACTAGAAGCTCCATTACACGTTAGAAGTACACAGACTGCTACGCGCAGCTACCACGTGGCCACTACCACCCTACAGGCTGTCAGAAATCTGCCCCTCCGTTACTGTTACTTGGAGCACAGAGTGCAGTGACCCTTGAACCACGCTCCCAGGTTTGTTCCTCGTCGCTGGCTGGGAGAGCAGACTTTCTGTGCTGGTTGAGGGCGCTGCAGGGCTGTGGTTGTGGTGAAGGTCGCCGTTACGCGGAGATGCTCGCCGTGCCGTTTCTGCCGCTGTGGAGAGAGCGGCGCTCTGGAGCGCGTGCGGGAGCCCTCCCCGTATGCCGTGTCTCGGCAGGAGCACCTTCGCCTTGTGGAGTCAAGGACGGCGTCTCCACAGGCAGAGTGGGACGCTGGCCCCAGGGCCCGGGTGGCCAGGTGTGCGTCCCGTACAAGCTCTCCGCTGCCTTCTGTGAGTGCCTCCTGCACCACAGTGCACTCATGCTGCTCCATGCTGCAGGGTTCACAATGTACTCATCTATTTTATAGTTCAGTGTAATCACTACAATATCGATTTGAATCCAGTTCACTGTTGATACTGGCCCAAGCGTTATTGATATGCGAGTGAGGCGTTATTGATACGTGAGTGAAGCGTGAGTGAGGTGTTTGTAAGGCATTCATTCGCCAGTGAGGTGTTATTAAGATGCATGTGAGGTGTGAGCGAGGTGCTAGTGAGGATTGTGTAACGTGCGAGCGAGATGCTTTTGAGGCACCACTGAAGCGTGAGTGATACGCCAGCGAGGTGTGAGCGAGGTGTGAGACGCTCGTGAAGAGCGAGCGAGGCGCGAGTGAGGCGACCGTGTGTCCCATGGCTCGTGTGTTAATCCATCTCACGACATCACACGACCACTCACGGCTCCCGCGCCAGAGGGAGTCACGGTTCTCGCGCCAGATGGAGACACGACCGCTCCGCATCGTGGCCAGCGTCACCAGAGTTCCGCTAGGCCGCGATGCCCATTGTAATTGTGCCGATTCTCACCATGCCAGCCGAGTACCAGGAGAGATTCACTCGGCTTCGGTCACGTGATTGGCAATGACGCGGTTACGAGTGTTACTCAGTGGAAGTCACGTGTCTGGGGAACCAGCCCCGTACAGTCACGTGCAGCGACTGTGCACATTACAGTGGCACAGAAACCCCATCCTGCAGTGCGCTCCCTGTGATGCTCTTTACAAAGACACCGGCGTGGTCAGGGGCACGGCTGGGTCTCAAGCAGTAAGGCAGGCAGGACTCCCCATCATTCCAAGTCAATGAGAGTGCTTTCTCTTCTAAGGACCAGTGGTGCATCGCTGTTGAAATGAGCAGTGGTGGAAATTCCACATTCCCTCCAGTGTTGGCGCGACTTATTTTATTAACCCAAGACTAATAATGGGCTGAGTTGATTATCAACCAGATTGTGGTTGAGAGCCAAGCTTCCTATTGCGTGCAATGCGCTTAGACCACAGGGCCACCCGGCCGTGTAGATCCCAGGAGCATAGCGAAGGGGCCATTGGCGTGTTGCGTTGATAGACAAAGCGACTGTGTGGAGTGGTCGTAGAGAGCGGCACAACGCGGTGCACGGTGTGACATGGAACGGCGTGGCACGGAGCGCTGGGGGGGGGGGGGGTCGCTGCTAGGCAGCCGAGGCCCCTTCAGCCGGCCTCCTACACCTCACACTGCACGGCACTTGCTCCTGTCCTGTTCATCTCATGACATCACAGTAGTGCCTACATTCATCACTGCGGTTCTATACCTATGTACTGTATGCCCGTGTAGGTCAAATCCCCAATACAATGTGATGCAATTTGATGACAGTCATTGGCGATCAGGCAGAGACCATGAGCTCACTACGCTTGAGAGCCCAGTTTTATCTGGTTGGCTAAAACCCGGTGTGGATCCCAGGATCTCAGTGGTGCTGGCTCAGTGTCTGTAAAGAGACATCACCCCTGAGCCACCGAGCCACCTTCAGGCTCTTCATGGCGATGTCAAAGCCAAGAGAGCGAGCTGTTGCTTCTCACTCAAGTCCCTTCGTGTGAGAGTGGGGCTCTAAGGGTACGGCTCTGCATATGAGTGACTCTGACACTGTGTAAGTGTACAAATAACTCGTTTGCCAGTAATAAATATACTTGGGCGTTCTGCTTTTGTCAGACGACTATGACGTGGAAACGATCACAAGGGCGACACAAGAGTTTGAGAAGAAAACCTGCGTCTGGTTCAAACCACACGCAGGCGAAACGGACTTCATTCACATCCAGGACTTGGGCGGGTGAGGGTTTCACACCCCAGATTCACACCAAGAAATCACTCCAAGCATTCGCTACCAGTATTCACTCCCATCGTTAACTCCCAGCATTAACTCCCAGCATTCACTCCCAGTATTAACTACCATAATTCACTCCCAGCATTCACTCTGTTGTATATATTGGGTCTTGTAAAATGTATACAAATAATAACAAATAAAATAAAAAAATGTGTAATTATCTGAAATTATGCTAATTTGTGTAATTATGCAGGAAAGTGTAATTGTATTAAGTTATGCTAGTGTATGCTAATTATGCTAATGTAATTATGATAATTAGGCCCTGCCTTGTTGTCTAGAGTTATATTATCAATCGGGATAATACAATGAATTGCATGAAGTTATGCAAGTGTGATGTAAGTATGCTGATTAAGCTCAGCTTCGTTATCTAGGGTTGTATTATGAATCAGGATAATACAATGATTCTCACTTTAACTTTTACTGATTATGTCTTAGTGTATTTATGCCAGGTCTCAAAATTAAGATCTCACCGCAGGATACAGTTCTTATAATTAAGATTATTATGCATGAACTTAGGAAGGCACCATTCAGACTCTTCTGTGTTAAGCAACTTTAATTTCTAAACAAAAACATAACACTCTAATATGCGAATTATTATGCTAGGAATATCAACACAGTTCTCCTGGAGATGTCCTCATTGATCCGTACATTTAACCCTCAATGATTACGTTTGTTAAACTGGGTCACAGGACAATCGGTTAATTCCTCAGAGTAAAGCGAGCATACACGGCGACAGGAAAGAGTCCTTAAAATTCAATGTGACAATATTCATACAAACAGCAATAAAGAAACATGTGCCTAAGGCAAAAGTAGACCTCAATCAATCCATTGGTAAGATTATGCAATTAACGAAATGTCTTGGAACAATGGTATGAGGCAGTGTGCCTGCTTGTCTAGCAAATGTTATGAATTGGCTAAGGCTTCAGTAAATTCGCGGGAAAGATATTGTGATCAAAATAAATATTTCATCACAATAGTCTCCCTGTGAATGTGTAGATTTGTAACATAGATGTTCTAAATGTTTAGTTTCATCAATTAATTAATTGGTACAGTTATGCAATTAACAAAAAGAATGACTAAAATACTTCTCACGACAATATCCATGTAACTCAATGGGCAAAACACAAGGATAACTTTTGGAGTACTTTTATTAGTCCCAATATGTGCGTTATGTGTGTGTTGGTGTATTGTCTCCTTGCTCAACTCTTTCCGTTAAGCAGACGCCGAGGTGGGGCGTTTCTTGTACCAATTATGCCTTGGTCCCCTGCTGGGTGATAGGTTGTGGGTGTGTGAGTGTGGGCGTGTCATACACAGTGGGGAGCGGTAGTGTAGCGGTTAACGCGCTGCGCTACAAACCTGGCGACCCTGGTTCGATTCCCGCTCACGGCCAACATCAGTGACGATTATCTGAACCGGTCCTGGGCCTCCCCTAGGTCGACTCAGTCTCAAATGAGTACCTGGTGCGATGTGTAACATCGCCACTAGGGAGACAAATGCGGCTGGGCGTGGTGTTGGCCACCCACCCCCTCATGTGCCGTGCCGGCCTTCATAGGTGCTCGCTAACAGCACTTTCCCCTACAGTATGTTAAGGCTATACGGGGGATCTTTGTCTTTGTATCATACACACGGCTCTGTCTCTCTCGCTCGGCGGCAGCTGCAGGCCCCTCCACTGCTGGATGAGCTGAGGCGGCGCGACCCTTGACTTTGAAGGTGCTCGATCACGCTCGCAGCTCGTCCGCAGGTCGCCGGGGCTGGCACTCTTGCTCGGTGCTCTCTGGCGATGCACGATTGCGCTCGCAGCGGTGCCGACCCTTTTGCTCGGTTGCGCTGGTTTCACTCTCAATGGTGAAAGAAACAATAAAAAAAACGAAAAACAAAAGACGAACTCCGCGACTTGTGGCTGCTGCTGATGCAGCTCCCTATCGATGTGCCTGTCACGGGGGCAGATTCCCAGAGTCTGCCGCTTGCAGAACTAAGTTTGCATTATCTGTGTCCTTGCTTATATGTAAAATTCTCTCCCCTCTGCCCACCTTCTCACAAAGGACCGGAATTCCTTTGATTTCGCTCTTTGCTTGTGGGGGGCAGTTGTTCATCCAGTGTCCGTGTGTGTGTGTATGTTCTGATTTATTAAGCAATCTGTTCAAGTTCAAGTTCATTTATTAGGTATAGCCCTGTGAGCCATTCTGCTCTTGAATTGGGTGCAACCGCAACAAACAAAAAACAAAAACATGAACAAATAACATCTTAAAGTAAACATGTGACTAATTGCAAACAGAAAATCCAAGAAAAGACAGCAAAATATTGCAGAAAAAACACCGTACACCAACGCTGTGTGCAAAAATCCCAGTGGGATGCAAGTCAAACAACAACAACAACAACCACAAGACAACTTAGATTAAGGCCATCAGTCTAACTCTGTACTACAACAAACAAACATGGCTAAACCAATACACTTTTCTCAATCACCAAAATAAAGCCATGAAAGCAATGAAAAGCAATCATAGGAACTGTGACGGAATTTTCACAATAAATGGCATAAACAACATGTACTACCAAAACCCTGCAGCCATGGCTGGCTGCATGAGTCACTCCACAACAGCAGGAGCATCAATCGGAGTATTATAATTTTTTAATGCACCTTTAAGATCAGCACACTAAATCAAAACACAGGTCATACTTTGCAGCGATCATCTGGAGCGAAACATTTTATTTTAGGCCACTGAATAGCACTGGCAGCTAGGGGTGTACAACTCCTCTAGAGCAGTTTTGAGTGAAGATCTCATAGGTAGTGACTCAAGTTTCAATTTATTGGCAACAGCATTCCAGACCCTGGGGGCATCAATAGCAAAGGCCCTTCCTCCAGTATATGTACCGCAATAGGGAATATTAAGCTGGTAAATGAGTGTAGACCTTAGGTCTAATTTGTTCTTTGAAACAGAGATGAGATCCAGCAGGTAATCTGCGGATTTTTTTGTAAGTACATCATGAATAAATAAGATCTGGTGCACAAGCCGTCGAACATTCAGAGATGTTAAGTTTGACCCAATGTAGAGATCACAGTGGTGAGTCCTATATGGGCAGTTCAATGCAAATCTTAAGGCTGAGTGATACATTGAGTCAAGCTTCTTCAGTACAGTACTTGGGGCTGATTTATACACAATGTCACAGTAATCAAGCAGAGGCAGTATGGTAGCTTTTATCAATTCCAAACGGAACATAGGGGGGAAGCAGTGCTTGTGTCGATATAGAAAACCAATTAAAATGTTTGTCTTTTTCCCAATATAATCAATGTGATCTTCAAAATTCAGTTTTGAATCCAGGATGACCCCAATATACTTATAGATCTTGACTTGCTCTATTTTATCATTATTTAAGGAATGTAATTGGGGGAAAATAACTTCCCGCTTTAGTCCTGGTGAGAAGCATAGCACCTTGGTTTTGGCAAGATTTAGGACTAGTTTAAGAGCAACTAGCTGATGTTGTAGTTTGTTGAAATCACTCTGGAGCTTAGCAATCACGTCATCCGGAGAGCGGCCAGCAGTAATCAGTACCGTGTCATCTGCAAAAAGATTTACCCTGGAATAATCCAGTTCAGTGCCCAAGTCATTTACATAAAGAGAGAACAAGAGGGGGCCGAGAATGGAACCCTGTGGAACCCCTTTTGTTATCTTAACACTGTTTGACCTCCAACCATCTGTGAATACAGTTTGGGTGCGAGAAAAGAGGTAATTTTTTAACCATTTTACTGTGTTTTCGGAAAAACCGAGGCAACTTATTTTACTAAGCAGGATGTTGTGGTCTACTGTATCAAAATCTTTGGACAATGATGCTTCTTTGATGGACAGGTTGAAAATATGGGCTATAGGTTTGTATATTAGGTGACCAACAGTTAGTAGAGCAAAGACGGGAATACTATCTGCTCCGGTAGAGGAGGACCCTTTGAGGTAGGACAGTTGTTTCAGAACATTACTTTCGTGGATCGGCTGAAAACTAAATTCGCTTAATGTTTGGATAGGGGTGTAGGAATTTGCAAGAGCAGGGGTGACTCCCAATACATTATCAAATAGGGTACCAGCTTCAGAAAAATGAAGGTTAAAATTGTCAACTATTTTTTGGGGATCTGAAAAATTTTCCCCTGTTAAGTCTCCCCATGGCGTTGTTTCTGTCCCCCTCCTCAAGCCACCCCACCATCAATGGAAACAGGTGCTCCAAATGTCCTCCAAGTGCGTCCTTCCAGGCCTTCAACTTCTGCAATAATTAATCTGGAAGGAGGGAGAGGTTCCCCCTGTTCGGTTGCATTCTCCACCCTTTTCCTTCACGGTCGGGGTGTTACATTTTTGTCTCTCTCAAAGAGGGGCGCCGTCTCTTGAAGTGTGACCTCATGTACCATGTTTCTCGTTCACTCTTATTGGTTTTATGTTGAGAGAGAAAGAAACATTATTTTCCACCCCTTATCTTAGTATGTATTACTTTTTGCGGTGTTGACTCTGTAAGTGACTCAAGGTATGTTTTGCGCAGTGTTTGCAGTATGTCCGTCATGGTTTGGACTTTTCACGGTGTCTGATCTCTCAAGTGGAGGCGCCCTCCCTGCAGTTGTGATTTATTGCTACCACGTGCTTCTGGAAGACAAAGGCGGTTGGGAGGCTCTATTGGATACATTTTATCTTGGTCATGTGTGATTGACCTATTTCGCCTTCTATCTCTTCTGGATGACCCTCAGTCTAATACTTCCCAAGTATTATTTGGTCTATTTAGATTTGAAGCTTTCGTGACTGCAGGAATCCATACTCCCTGGTTCTTCGGTAAAGTCACGTAGATAGAAAGATACAGTAACAAACCGTCACAGCCGGATTAGCTGCATCAAGCTAATTCGGCTGTGACGGTCCCACCTGATGACGGAGACTTGTGTTGCCTCCGAAACGTCGTGATTTTTGTTTTATTTTATTTTTATTAATTTTGATGTTTTACCTACGTGACTTTACCGAAAAAACCTAAGAATATGAATCCTTGCAGTCACGAAAGCTTCAAATCTAGAAATATATATGGTGAATAAGAGTAAAATAAGGTAAGTAATAATAAAAGCCACTAATGTAGACTGCAGTCTATAATGTCGATTTGTTCTTGTTGCTAAGTTTCGAACTTTTACCGAAGTAAAAAAAACGCCAGTTGTAACGTCCTTTGCCCTCTTCTGTGTCTGCGTTTTATGCCCCCCCCCCCTTGCACCGGGGTTTGATTACATTTCATGGTTTATCTCCAGCTGCGTTCTTGTATGGCTTGTGAGGGCAGTGGGGTGAGGGGTGAGGGTGTTTTGTTACACCTTTTTTTGTGCCCCATGCTACACCCCGATTGATTATTATTTTAAAAAATATTAGCAGAATTATTCTTAATATACATTTTTGGAAAAAGGCCAATATATACAACTCCAAGCATTAACTACCATCATTAACTCCTATCATTCACTCCCGTCATTCACTCCCATCATTAACTCCCAGCATTAACTATCATCATTCACTCCCATCATTTACTCACAGCATTAACTACCATCATTCACTCCTATCATTCACTCCCATCATTCATTCCCAGAGTTCACTCCCACCATTAATTAACTTCCAACATTCACTACCATTATTAACTCCCAGCGTTCACTCCCATCATTCACTCCAAATATTCACTCCCATCATTCACTCCCATCGTTAACTCCCAACATTCACTCGCATCATTCACTCATAATTCACTCCCATCATTCACTCCCATCATTCACTCCCAACATTCACTCCCATAATTCACTCCCATCATTCAATCCCATCATTCAATCCCATCATTCTCTCTCTCGTGGTACTCCTGTAAAATAGACAACGCTTGCACTGATTTTTGAGCTTTCAGCAGGGTGCGCTTAGTTACACTCTCCTCTGTGCCATGCTGTGTTTATGTTGCAGTCGCATTTGTGAATGGCTGTGTTGGGTATCATTTGTGAATGTGTTTGTGCCCAGTGGCGTGGACTGAATGAAGCCCTCCCCATTCATAAACAGCATTTTGTTCCTCATGGCACAATTCCCTTCCCAAACTCTCCTTGCGTTGTGTTTCATCGTTGTGATCTTGTTGGTGCACCGTGTCCCCTTACTTGACTCGTTTGGATTTATTGGAGCCAATGCATTTTCTGTGCTTGCTATAGCCACTCACTGCCCTATGCTGGGACTGATGGGTGGTAGCACGATGAGGTAATGAAGATAATGGGAACTTCAACATATTTATGTTTAACACGGTTGTTGAGCACAGGCCCAAAACGCCAAGCAGTCAACAACAAACGGCGCTCTCAAAGTGGTAACAGAAAGCGTTCACACGTTTGTTGAATTGAGCTTGGTTGTAAGAGCTGGGGAAAGTGACTGTGGGAGCAAAATCCAAGGAGGAGCAGCGTGAGGGAAGAATCGGGAAGAGAAGCGTGGTGAGCCGCAGTGCGGTGGGTGAACTTCGCATGAAGTTCATGAGATTGGTCATCATGGTCGTAGTGATAGAAGAGTGATAAGGAGGTGACTGACCAATTACCCTGACAGCTTTACGTTGAATGTGTCCAAGAGCAGCGAGGTAGGAACTGAGTGCTGCACCCCAGATATGACAACAGTTTTCTCCAACTTGTGCACCACGTGTGCTTTGTACAGCAATAATAATTGCTCAGGGTTTAAATAAGACCTTGGCAGAGAAAAGAAAACGAAGATTTGTCAACACATCCTTAGCCAGAGCAGCCATTACGTGACAGGTCACGTGAGCTTGTTATGCCAAAGAGATTCATGTGTTCACTTTGGATAAGATAGCATTTGTTATCTATGATGAAACATCTCATGCCTCGTTTCCTCCAGACCTCTCAGCAAGAGCTGGTCACTGCTGGGGAAGCAGGGGGGGGAGCAGCCGCTGTCCCTGGAGCCTGGCAAGGTGACCAAGGGCACAGTTCTGCACGAATTGATGCACGCGCTCGGCTTCCAGCACGAGCACTGCCGCAGTGACCGCGACAAGCACGTCTGGGTGGTGCCAGAGAACATCAAGAAAGGTAATAGGCATCAGCAGTAGCATCACCCTCAGCAGCCACGGTCTGTCTGGTAAAGATATTTTATGGAGAGAGATATATAATCAACACAAAACATACTGTGAATAATGTTGGGGTAATGAAGGGTGGAAAATGTCTCATTTTAGATTAAACTAGACTGCACCTCCAATTTCCACACCTCCGATTAGCACGGTGGACTACGTACCATGCGAAAGACGTTCAACATATAGACTAATTAATGATCCAAGGGAAGGTGGTGCAAATAAGTTTCCAGTCCCACCTCACAGCAGATATTGGCAATACTCTGCAGCATCTCACAGCCTCTGGACATCAGATGAACCAACGGAAGTCGAAACGCGCCTCAACATCGCAAACAAGCAAACATCTGTGTAACCTGCACACCCTTACAGGCAGCAGCACGCAAGCGATGCACCTCAGTCCACTTCCAATGAACGCCCAGTTGAAGATGGTGCATATGAGAGGTGTCGGGAATGCACCCTCTGCCTTGCTTGTGCCTCTGCGCTGCTAGACCGGGGACGATGGAGGCTCGTGCGAGCGAACATGAGCATCATGCTCCCTGCCGTTGTTCAACGAGCGGCTCACCAGCCTTGCTCGACCACGTGAATGCGGCACCGTGGCCACCCGGCTCGGTGGAGCTCCCCTAATGGTTACGAGCAAACGAACGTCTCACTGGGGCAATAATGATGAGAAATATGCACCCTGAATAGGCCCTCATGTGGTCAAATAAATGACATTAATCAAGAAATAAAAATGGAATTGGTTTATCTCATGGTAAATAATGGAAACAGAGTTATAGACGATTAAACACAATGATATAATACAAGTGTAGTGTAGTAGAACGACACTACTGTATTGGATCGGTATGGGGGCTGTAGGCAGGTGTCACGGGGGTCGTGTCGGGCCGTGACACTCTGCGTGAACCCGACGGGACACGTGACCGGATAGAGGCGTGCCAGGGGCCCCAGGGGGTCACGTGGTTGGGGGCTCGGGCCTTCCCGAAGGATCGGGAAGGGGGACGTGGCCTGGGGCGGAGCCGGCCATGCCTGAGTGGTTACAAGCGGGGCATGGACGGAGAGCTGGGCTGTTCTGATGTGTCAAGTTTGGGATGAAGCCACCATCTACGATCCTCGGTCTCCGATCCAGAAATGTAATATCCCCGTGTGTTAGCTAAGTTAGGAATGGTGGTTACCACCCTATGTCGTTAACCTGTTAATGTTAAGAGTTACCCGTTGTCTTTAGATATTAAATAGTGTTGCCTCCAAAGTTCCAGTGTGCGCCTGAATTTAACCCACTACATTTGGTGTCAGAAGTTGCGGAAATTAATTGTTAGGTGTTATTCTAGTATAGTAAAATGTGCGCACGAAGACAACGACTCACCTGGATGCCTTCATACGACGGGGACAGCGGGAAAATCATCCTCCCAAATAGCCCCGGGGACTGCAGCCCCAGTGAAGGAGAGATGGCCCTGCAGACGGGGCGGCGGGACGAACATCACGCCGCTGCTTCGCCGCCGTCCAAAGAGAGAGCGCCGGAGCCGCGGGGAGAGGACGCCGCCGCTGCTGCTGGTGTCCGGGCGGAAAAAAAGCGCGCGCGACCGCCATTTTGGTGGCCCATCAGGACGTGGTTCCCGCCAAAATGCAATTCCTGCCATTTTCAACACCTGCGGAGAAGAGATCTTCGGCCGTCTCGGTGGCGCCCTGTCTCCTGTTCGAGTGCGGGAGGCCGGATTTGTTCGCAAGAGGATGCCGTGCTCACCATCCAAGATTCTTCAGGGCGTCTCAAGTTTCCACCCTGCCATCCTCCGTTCTTCACAGCCTCTAAGGCGAGTTGTGACACGATATGCACCCGGCCCTAAAACACACTTCACCCATCTTGCGTGCGCCAGGTTGCGATTGTGTGTTGTTTTTTCTGCTCGCTGGGTTGCGGAACATGTTTTTCTGGCTGTGTGAGTGGAGGATGAACGCGGCGTCAGTGCTGGTGTTGTGCCGTGACATTTTTTTGTGCAGTTGCGGCGTCGACCGTTATCTTGAGGGGGCAGTTAATGATTAATTCGGTTATGTCGGGGGTCCCGAGCTCCGTTAATATCCCGTGGGTTGCCGTGTTAATGAATCGCGTTGTGACATCTTTTTGTTGTTGTTGCGGAGTAGCGTTTGTTGACAATGTATGGACTGCGACTGTGTTCGCTCGCGATTGTTAACAATGTGTGGGCTGTAGGAAACTTTATTCGCGATTGTTGACGATGTGTTGACTGTATGCAGCTTCGCTCGCGATTGTTAACGAAGTGTGGACTGTAGGAAACTTTGATCGCGATTGTTGACGATGTGAGGACTGTAGGAAACTTTAATCGCGATTGTTGACGATGTGTTGACTGTATGGAGCTTTGCTCGCGATTGCTGGCAATATGTAGACTGTATGGAGCTTTGCTCGCGATTGCTGGTGATATGTAGACTGTATGGAGCTTTGCTCGTGATTATTGACTACTAGCGGTAAGTGACCGGCGTTGCCCGGGCGAAAAAGACAGACACACACATCGACCTACACACACAGACATTGAGCCACACACAGAGAGACATCGACTTACACACACACACACACACGTATGTACTCATACACACATAGACATCGACTTTAGAGGCCGATCGAAACTGAATTTCTGGTTTCGGCCGAAACTGAAAGTAAACCGAAAGTTAAAAATTTACTTTCGGCCGAAACTGAAAGTAAACCGAAAGTTAAAAAATTACTTTCGGCCGAAATCGAAAGTAAACCGAAAGTAAACTTTTTGGCTTCGGCCGAAACAGAAACTATGCCGAAAGAGGCCATTTGCCAACTTTCGGCGCCGAAACCGAAACCGAATTTCGGTCGGCCTCTAGACGCATCACAGACTCGCACGCACGCACACCCAAGCCCCCTCCTGCGGTGTGGAACCCATGTGGAGGAGGAGGAGGTGGGTTGGGATGGGGTGGTGGGAGGGTTGAATTGGATCATTGGAGGGGGTGGGTGGGTTGGTGTGTGTGTGGCTGTTGGGTGGATGAGTGAGTGAGTGTGCGCACGCGTGTATGCACACTGTTGTCATCAGCATGCTGCTATAATCTGCTGAGTGTGCTGTGCGTGCGCGCGTCTGTGTGCTGTGCGTGCGCCCGCATGTGTTTGTGTTGTGTGTGCCTCGAGCTGCCTGTGAGCCGCTCAATCAAAAGTGCTCCTGGTGGACTGCTGCTGCTGCGAGTGCAGGCTGTGCGTGTGCTGCTTGCTGCTGCTCACTAGTTTGGTGGTTTTGGGGGGAAAGTAATTTTTTTCTTATTCTTCTCCGTCGTCTGTCTTATCCCACCCCACCACCACCACCACACCCCTCTCACCCCCATCCTTGCTTGAGTGTGCGTGTGTGCGCTGCTTGCGATCGCCGGAGAGAGTGAGGAGCGTCTGCCATCAACCACCGCCGTCGCCTCTGCTGCCCGGAGTCGCATGCGCGCGCGTGTAGTTTAGAGGCCGACCGAAGCTGAATTTCTGGTTTCGGCCAAAAACGAAACCAGACCGAAAGTAAAAAATTACTTTAGGCCGAAACCGAAAGTCAACCGAAAGTAAAAAATTGACTTTCGGCCGAAACTGAAAGTAAAAAATTTACTTTCGGCCGAAGCCGAAAGTCACAAATTGACTTTCGGCCATAACCGAAACTGTGCCGAAAGAGGCCATTTGCCAACTTTCGGCGCTGAAACCGAAACCGAATTTTGGTCGGCCTCTAATCGAGTTGAGATACACACACATGGAGTTACACAAATCGACGTACACATATACAGCGACTCACACACACGTGTACGTAGACTCTCACACACACATCGACCAAAGCACACATATGGACTTACATACGCATATATCGACTAAGGAACACACATATGGAGCCACGCACACACATGGACTTACACACACACATCGACTCACAAACACACATACATAGACTCACACACACATTGGCCTAAACACACATACACATATGGACTCACACACACAGACATAGACTTTAGATACACACACATGGAGTTACACACACACATCGACTTCCACACACACATATGGACTTACACACAGATATGAATACAAAAACCGCCACTCGCCACTAAGTGGCAGTGATGTCACCACGACGCTTGTGCCAGGCCATGTGCACCTTGAGGCCACGTGAAGTGTTGAACGCCCGCAGGCAGGAGGTCACGGGGCAGACCCAGGTGCCAGGGGTCGACTGACTGAGATGACCGAGATGACTGGCTGATGCACCACCTGTGCCCCCTACTGTGCCAACTTGCTGTGCTTTAGCCACCCAGCGCTCCGCTCGTTGTTGTGAGCGTCGTTCCTCCGCCCTCTGTTGTTGTTGGAAGGCAACTGCCTCCAACTTCCCAGTAGCGTCGTTCACGAGCCTTATTCACTGAGGCCGATCTTGACACCGCTGGTACCAGTCATCGGCAAGTCCACACAGCTCGACATCCTTTTGTACCACGTCACTCCATCTCTTCTCTAGCCAGTGCCACACCCATTTAGCCCCCTCGATCCGGCCGAACAAAATCTGTTTGGGCATGCGGTGATTGGGCATGCGGGCTACATGGCCCAGCCAACGCAGCCTTGCCTGCCGGAGGAGCTCACCGATGGGACTTTGCCCAGATCTTTGTGAGCTCCTCACACAATCCAGCCTGGTTTTACCCGGGCCTGCTCACCATCATGAAGGTCCTTAATGATCGTGAGCAGAGGGTCAGGGACTCCGAAAGCACGAAGAACAGCCCAGAGCCCAGGCCTACTGATGGTATCATAGGCCTTGACCAGGTCAATAAAGCAGAGATGTCGGTCTTGTTGGAATTCCATACACCTCTGCTGTAGCAGACGGACAGAAAATATGGCATCTGTGCAGGACCGCCCTTTCCTGAAACCACATTGGAGCTCCGCAAGCCTTTCCTCAGCGTGCCTAGCAAGCTGATGTTGAATAATCCTTGCCAGGACCTTTC